AAGTACTTCCGAATGATGAAGGAAAGTTGGTATACCTAAAAAGCGTAGAAATTGGTGACCGTACAGAGTCTTACATTGGCATGATTAGTACAGATGGAAAGGTTCTCATGCAGGACAAACTTTTTGCTGACATGAAAATGGAGGGTATAGAATTTGTTGAGTTATGAAGTCAAACTTTTTTGTTCGGAGTCTGACTGTAAAATTTATATTGGATTTCTTCTCCTTGTTTTGCTATAACTGAACTATAATGAAATAATACACAATTCTAAAAAATTAAACTTGAAAACACAGTAATGTATCGGAAGTACGACACTTCACTCGCAGCCCAATGCTCTTTAAGAAGAAATCAAACTGAAATTGACCGCCATGGCCGCCGCGAAGATCTTTTGATGAGCCGCCGCGAAATAAAGAGTGAAGACAACAATTCTGTTGATTACAGTGAGAGTCATATCACAAACGTGTTACGAGGGTTGGTCAACTGTAATGGTGAGAAATTTAACGAGTATTTATTTGAATTTAAAACGATGTGTGAGAACGTCCGGAGCACTTGTAGTAATGTAGACATGTTCTACGAGAAAGTGCAAAATAGTCTGACCGTCAAAAGATTGTTACAAGTGCTGACCACTGCAGACACAGAAATGACGAAAAACGTCATCATATCAGTGTTCATTAACTTGACATTTTCACAGGCGTGTCTCAAACAAATGTTGGACAATCAACTTGAGTACATTGTCTTACCACTGCTCTCCACACCTCATCAAACTAACGTCTTGTGGCTGTACGCTAATTTATCCGGTGAAAATGCCGAAACGCGAGATTCAGTGTACTCGGCTACGAAAGAGACACTGCTCCAAATGTACCAAACGGACTGTTTAAAGGCAAGTTCAGTTGAATTGATTCGACTCATATCCAATTTCTGTCGATTCAAGCCTCATATCAGCTTTGAAGGGTTTGACGGGTTTTTCAAAATCTTGATGGACAGTCTGCGAGTATCAAATGACAACGCAAAATGCGTGTTAAGTGCTTTTTTGAATTTGGTAGATTCTGATGAGGCTGTACATCGGTATGAAAGTAACATCTTGTCCGTCATCGTGTACGGTATCAACAACAGTGATTTGGAACTCTTCGACATTATTGTCAATTTCATTGGAGACATTGTATATCGTACAGACAACTATATCGATACATTTATTCAGAGGGAATTGATGGAACGAATGATTACAGCATTACAAGTTGGCGATGAGAATGTATCAAAGGATGTCTTGTGGTGTTTATCGAATATTGTTGCTTCAAACTTGACATCTGTTCACAACAAAATTGAACAAACAGGGATCGTCAAATTACTCATCGAGATGCTGTTGTGTAACACGACGGCAAACAAGTTGAGATACGAAGTTGCGTGGTGTTTTGTGAATATCTTATCGATTTTAGACGAGGAAGAAATTACTCGTGTTGTTCAACACCAAAACTTTTTTGAAGCAATGAAGGCAGTGACTTTTATACAAATTAAAAGAAAAGACGAGAAATCGAGTTTGATGGAGTTCTTTTTACAAAGCGTCAGAAAAATATTAACGATTGGCAACATCCACTCTGTCAATGGGTATAATATATATGCCAGTAGTATAGAAGAGAATAAACTGAGTGACATCATTTTTTCGTTCATTGACGACTGTGAATTGTCACTCGACGTGAGTGAAGAGGCGAGAGAAATCACAGAAAAGTACTTTTGTGACAATTGATTGATTTTATTCACCGTTTTATGGATTCTATTAATACAAATGGGGTATCATTGAATTATAGTATAATAGCTACACTAATTAGAATACAAGTGAACACGACTAAAAATAGATCGAATCATACAAATCATCCGACTGGAAAGTGTCTGAGACGAGTGTGATTCGAGTAATAACGTTGATGATACATTCCAAGTCGTCTTTTTTACTTTCGTCGAGAGGAAGCATTGTGGTGATTCGAGAAACAAAACTTTTGATGAAGTCGTTTGAAAGTGCCATTGACTTCATAGTCTTAGCAATTGAATGAATGATTCCTATTGCCTCTGCATTTTCTTTCTCTGAGAGCGTTTTCTTAATTTTTTCATCCATTTCCGAGATGGTTTTGAATAACACATCTTGACTCACCCCTAACACTACTGTTTTTGACTTGTTAATTTGTGAATGGTACAATGACATCCAAACACTCATATCATCCCAAATGACCATCCCTTTCAATAGAACACAAAGAGGTTCTTGAACGATATTTTCGATGTGGCAAAGGCGGCTCGTGATTTCAAGAATGAGTGTAGCGCACAACGTGTCATGTTGTGAATTGCAAAATTTGCTGATTGTTTTGAAAATGTCGACTAAAATGACGGTGACAGAATTGATCACACTTTCAGGCCCAAATTCTGGAATAACAAATTTATGTTGGTTGTCGTGAAGGTACTTCAAAAATCGATACCGGTTTCTGGCATCACTCAAATCGTTGAACAAAGTCCCACAATCGGGAGGTGCAGAATTCTCGTTGTTCGTTCTGATCAATTTATCGACAAATTTTTCGTTGGAAATGACGGAAATCTTCTTTGCTTTTTTGTCGATAACGACGTCACTCGAATTATCTTTTGACCAAGTACATGTCAACCACTCTTTATAACAAACAGTCTTTGGTTCTGGTAATCGATGAATAGTTTTCAATAACTTAGTGACGTCAAAGTGCAATTTCGACAGTGGAAATGGTGAAGTTATTGGCATCTTTTCAAAGGAGATGTTGTCATTCGAGTTGTACAATTTAGTCAAAGTACCTATTGACACAGTTTCAACATTTTTATCGATCCACTCCCTTGCTGCAGAATGTGACTCGGTGATGGAAAAGTCAATGAAACACTTGAAAGGGTAGGTGTCGATGAAACTTTTCAAAAAGTCCTCTTGGTCTGATGTGTGTGACAAAACAAAGGCGTCACCTTCAAAGTGAGTGATTGTTTGATCTGATATCCATGTGAAGCCAACGTACTTTTCAAAGCCTCGAACAAGTTGAATAATTGCTTTAAAAAAACAGAGCTGAATTGCAATGTTACTTGGCGATGGGGGTGTCCACAAGTCATCGACACCATCATCAAACTCGATGATTGTAATTTGCATTAGATCGTCAATAAGTCTTTCAGTCACAGAATTGGGGAGGTCTGGTGTGTGGTGTTTAATAGAACTCGATATGATACCATTGTCAAGATCAATAAAAATCAACTCTTCATCTCTTAAGATGTCTGCTGCATCCGCTCGAAAAGAGGCAAGAAGGCCTAAGATATAAGGAAACGGTGAGGTGATATACTCCAATAATATTCGTGGTAATATTGGTACGCAAACGTAAACCCAATGTAAGGGGTATAACAACAACTTGAAATTTTCAATGGTACGAACAAGTAAAGCAGCGTCGTTTGAGCTAAATACCAACCGTTCACCGACCAGCAAATAATTGAATATCTGAATAATTGAACTCTTGGTAAGGATATTGAATAACTCCGAAAGATTGAAAGGGGAATATGGGATATCGTTATGCTGTGGAAATTGCAAGACCATTGTACTGTCGAAAATCTGGAATAAATTCTTCTCTCCATTTTTCACCTTTTCCGTGCGGTTTGTTATCACATCACACGCAGCGTAAAACGCGCTGTCATAATCTTTTTTATACCCATTCATAAATTTTGAACTGTGTATCCCCCAAAGCCACTGCTGCATGACTGAGAAAATTGGGGTTTCACAGAACACTGCTAAGATAACAGGTTCATACATTGTACACGTGTCGGTGAAGTTCAATTTTTTACAAAGCTCGCTTTGGGACTCTGATGACATCTCTTCATACGTGATTAAAAACTCGACATAGCGTGCTGTTCCATCAGCATCAGTCATCACAAAAGGTCTAAATTGGTACGGTTTTTGTATACGAGATATTCGAAGCCCATCAGGCTCACAAAAAAGCCAAATGTTTTGTGGGATCTTCTCGCAATTTTGAGGATAGATCTCTTTTATTTCGCCACTGAACGGAATCAAGAAAGGGTTTGTCTCGTTTTGGCCCACAATCGCAAAATAATCTTTCAGGTCTTCAACCAAGTCCGCAAGTCCTATTTTCGCAATACCTAAAAATAGCCCATTTGGCAAGAACAACGTCTTATTCCTGTTTTTGGGTTTCGAGAGAAAGTGTGACCGAAGTGCTGTGGGCTTTGGAGAGTCTTCAATAAAACTATCAAACGTCTTCATTGTTACCCACAGTTCACCAACTTTTTTTACTCGTGGAGGGCGCGTCAGTGCCGATCTTGTTAAACGAAGATGTAAAGCCCCAATTATCTGCTTGTTTGAAACAATTGAATGCCACTCATCAATCGGAATATCAACACCAAGTTTACTCGACTTGATCTCGACACCACCTATCGCTGTCGGCTTCTTCCCAAATCGTGACACTTTGTATATCACAAACTCCATCTTCTTTTTCGAGACTCTATATATCAAAATTATGTTTGTGTATTTCTTACCAGTTACATAATAACAGTATAAATTCATTATCACAACATTGTGTTACGTTAATAAAAAATGACACCAACAAACAGCGGTCCTCCTCTAAAATTGTATATTGGAGACTTCGATTTTGAAGACATTTTCGTGCGTATCGTCTCTTCATTCATTTCACATGTGACAAAGCTGTGAACTTCTTCCATCACTTTGGCTTCAATTATGTCGACAAAGACAACATACCCATTATCAAACAACGACATCGCTTTTTCAGTTCCCCAAAAACGGTTGTCAGCACTTCATCGTTCTTTTTTTTGAAAAGTGTTCAACTTAATAAAACCAATTAATAGTATTATTTTACTAGTAAGAAAACTATCAAACCACACACTCAATGCAAAAAGGCTGGCTTCAATATCGTTCTATCCTCCTTCATCAACTGCTTCATTGGTCGCCAGAACTGTATCTCTCTGCCCTCCCCTGCACTTCCAATAACAAATGGAATATTTGGATTCCACAGCGCATCATACACTTCATTGAAATGTCCGTTGTGCTGGAACAAAAACTCGGAACCACCGTCATCAGCATCGTTTGAAGTTTGATCTTCGCCAACTCGACTCATGTCGTAAATACGAACACGATTATCTTTACTTGCAGAACACACATATCCTAAGTTGATTGTACTCAACTGACAACAATTGATACCTTTCTCCGCACCAAACAAATGACATAACTCAAAGTTTGGCTTTCGAGTATCCCAAAAGCGAACAAATCCATCTTCCCCACCTCCTGTGATAAAGATGTATGAATTGCCCTGATCAAAACAACACGCATTTGCATCACCACTATGTGTCTCTGAAAAGACTGAAACTGTTGTCTTTGTTCGTATATCAGTTAAAACAGCTCGACTATCTTCACCAACACTCAGTATTATGTCTGCATCGGCTTTGAAACACACATCATTTATTGAGTTGTGTACATTCAACATTGCAATTTCTTCATTCTCGTTATTAATTGTGTAGACATAGACATTCCCATTCTCACATACACAGAAGGTCCCTGGAGAAACTATTGACCATGAAAGGCCAAACCCACCTCCGTGCTTTCGTTCTACACCCTCACATAATGAGTCCGCCGTGTTGTATATAAACGACTGATTCTCAGATGAACTTGTCACAACAACGTCGCGGTTCTGTGGCATTGCACGTAACCTTCTGACATCGCCCTTGTGCATAAAGAGTCCACTATCATCATACCGGACGTCACAATCAAATTCACCAACATTCCCATCTTTGAACGAAGTTGGTTTGACCTCTCCTGTTGGAATAGACAGCACACATTTTCCTATATAAGCAGTGTCATCAACTTCATTGGTTCCATAGATAAAGGACTGTTTTGTTACATCTGAAGTATTTGATACAACTGTTCCCCAATCGAAAGTGGTGGCTGCTGGAAACGGTGTTTCATACGTCGTCAAAAATGAATAGAGGTAAATAGTATTTGCCTTCCACGTCTCATACTCTCGTGCTGTTTTTAAGTCTTCAATTTCCATACTCGGGTGTGTTATACTTTCTTCGTCCATCTCGTTGTCCTCTTTGTCTTCTTTTTCGATCTTCTCTTCTTTTTCAACTTTCTCTGGCTGCAAAGACAAGGACTCGTCCATCTTTTTTGAAGACTCTGTCTCCACTGTAACACCAACGACTGGTGTTGTCTCATTAGTAGACACCAAAAGAGGCTGTAAACGCTTTTTCTCTTTCTTCTCTGACATTTACTAAATTTTTCTAGTTCTGAACTATTCTCTTTATCACAAGAAGAGTATCTTTATCTCTTTTTTTTTAAATTATTTGCTTCTTTTATTGTTGTTTATTACTAATAAAAATAGTAAATACAAATTATACAATATAATTGAATTTGAAATATTGAACAAAACAATTTTTATTAAAATAATTAAATTTATTACAATATTATAGTATATAGTGAAGAGAAAGGTAATTACAACTTATAGTATATTTAATTAACAAAAAAGACCTAAAGTGGGGTTTTATTTAATACAATAATAGTAGGTAGAAGTGGAATACCTCGGGAAAGAAAATAAACAGGGTATGAAAAAATAGACAAAGAAAAAAGAACCCTTTAAAAACACATGGAACTTGAAAGAAACACTCGATGGGAGCTTATAAGTATATCAACGCCTTAAACCGCAAGAAGCAGAGTGACGCTCTTAGATACTTGCGCCGTATCAGATGCTGGGAATTGAGACACCTCCCACGTATCCACAGAATTGCTGCACCAACCAACGTTGCTCGTGCCAGAATTTTGGGATTCAAGAACAGAAAAGGCTTCCTTGTATTCTCCATCAGAGTCCACAGAGGAAATAGAAAGATCCAGGCCAGAGCCGGTATTGTCCACAGAAAGCCAGCCAACCAAGGTATCCACAGAATTAAAAAGCACCAATCACTCCAAGTCATTGCTGAAAACAGAGTCGGAAGAAAGTACCCATCCCTCAGAGTTTTGACTTCATACTCTATTGGACAAGACTCGACCTTCAGATTCTATGAAATTATCATGGTCGACCCAATGCTCAAGGAGATCAGAGACGACCCAACCATTAACTGGATCTGTGCTGGTAAACAAAAGAGAAGAGAAGCAAGAGGATTGACTCACGCCGGAAAGGTCTCAAGAGGACTTTCTGGAAAGGGAAGAAGATACAACAAGGTTGCTCACGGAGGAAGAAGACACAATTTGAAGAGAAGAATGTTGCTTCAATTCAGAAGATACAGATGAGCAAATCTATTTGGAGATTTTTGGTTTTAATATAGTTTTTTCTAATAAAAAGCAAATTTTTGTTGAGTACCAATAACTCTGTTATATATAACATTTTTAGTGGATAGAAAAAGAACTTTGAAATGAACTTTATAAGGAATGGAAGTGACCATTGGCGCGGCGTTTGTGTTGGCGTTTTGTGGAGTTGGGTTGTGTTATTTTGTCTTTCCAAAGGTTATCAAACATTGGATGTTTTGGTACGTCTTTTCGATGGTCATTTTTGTATTCTCTGTGGGTGGGTTGGTTTATAATGTAATGCACCAACCGCCACCGTTTGGAATGACTCGTGAGAGGAGACCTCAATATTTCAGTGAGGATTCAAGAGGACAATTTTACTTTGAGGGTTACTTGGGATCTTTTTGTTGTTTGTTTTTACTATACTTCTATTAATCTAAAACCATTGAATGACAATCACTTTTTGTTATGTAATATTCTGAAGGTGGAACAATGAAGTAATGGGTAGACGCTGCTGTTGCTATTTCCCTCCTTTTATTCTTCGAGCTTGGTACAAAGAACATTATCTTTTTAATGTGCACCTTCTCGGCACTCCTCTTGACACTCACTGTTTTCAACACCGTCATCCACATTAAGATCCCATGGGCTGGAATTTCATTCAACCCACTCGAAGCGTACAAAGGCGCTCTTACAGACGTGCTCATGTACTTCGCCAAATGATTCACTCTGCCTTTATGTTTTTTTTATTAATATTTGGGAATTTGCAACGTCATAATTGGACCAAATGAAGCTAAACTTGAAAACATCAGTCGATGAGTTCATCAGTTTGTTCATCCAAATTTTGATATCATTGACAACAAAGGTTGGGTTCAAGGAGTTTCAAATGGAGATTTGTCGGTTGGAGAAAATCCTCGAAACCTTCAAACAGAAGAATAAGGAAATAGCTGAGGTGATCTTCAATCTCCAAAATATGCAACACCAAAACATGTTCAATCAAAAGAATCGCGCGCAAAGAATTGTTGCACTCAACCAGTCAATTGCAAACCTAAAACAACGCCTCGAACCAAATTAATTTATATCTCAGTATTGTCCACATTGACTTATTGTACACTGCACTTTGGGGATGAAGTTCTGGTCGACTGCGACATTTTCAATCATACGAACGACTTTCATCCCCTCCGTCACTTGCCCAAAAACGACATTCTTTCCATCTAACTCATGCAACGAGGAACACGTGATCATAAATTGACTTCCATTTGTGTTTGGGCCCGAGTTGACCATACTTAGTAACCCAGGCACGTCATGCGTCATTTTAAAGTTCTCATCATCAAATTTGTCGCCATAAATACTTATTTGCCCACTTCCACCCATCTATCGATTATTCAATTTGAAGGGAATGAAGAAACAAACACCAAGAACATCACCACTTTGAATCACTGCGTTCTTTATGACACGATGAAAGACACAGTCCTTATACCCCACTACTTTCCCATTCGTGACAAAATCGCCAGTGCACATCTGCCTGAAATTTTCAACGGTCTTCGGACAAACGGTCCTGAAGAGCTCCATTTTGACACGTCCTATCACTTTGTCCCCCACTGAGATGTCGAAGAAGACAATTGGATTTTCGGGGTCGGTGAGGGGATCAGTGCAATTCATTTAAAATTTTTTGTTCTTTAGAATAAAATATAAAAAAAGAAGAAAGAAAACTTTTATACAAAACAAAACCATAAAAATAGGACATGTTTAGATATTAAACGCATGTTTGATTTTCTTCTCAATTGCAGACAAAATCTTATTGTTTTCATAGACCTTTTGGTCATTGGAAACAGAAACAGACTTGATTCTCGTTAACGCTTGGAAAATGTTGCCAGACTTGACTTCGTTCAGAATTAACGGCGAGTTTGTGACAAACTTAAAGTCAAAGATATCATACAGAGTTCCTGTCACGGAAGAAACAAGACTAAAGTCTTCACCAAAGTGTTGGTTTTTGATAATATAGTATATCGCTTCGAGCATTCCACCAATCAGTTCAGTCAATGGTTCAGCGTTTTTGAATTGTTGTAAAATGACAGCTAAGACGTAAAGCGCAGCACATTTGCTTTGTGCTGAGAGCATTTGTGATTCTTTAGTTTCAATGGTCTCAGCACGAATTAATTGATACATCACTCCAATGATGTTTTTGATTTGACTCGCCACATTTTGGCACCCCACTACTATCAAGTCACCAATAATTTCTGTTATTTGGTTCTTTTGTGTGATCTCAAACTCGGGGTTGAGAAGCGCGTTCAAAAAGAGACCAACAAAATCACCGCAGTACTTCTCAAACTCGCTTTGTGCTGAAAGAGCCATGTCGCCAACCAATAATATGTACGATAAAAATACATCAGGGCGCATTTCTATACGGGACCACTCAATCACCTTTCCAATAAGGGTGTTAAACATCGGCTTGATGTTCTCCTTCAACGTAGCAACTAAAAAGTCCAATAATATGAGTGCTGGCTCAGGGCACACATTAAACGATTGTATCGCAATACCCATGTGCATATTTACAAGTTGTGGGTTATTCATGAGGTCATCTCCAAAGTTCATCAAACAACTCTCAAGCACCAAGACAGTGTATCCAAGAAACTCGGGGTTTTGGAACAACACCGACTGCATCGAACTCAACAAGAACTTGTCCATTTCAATACACAGACCTTTGTTCTTCGAACCCTTTAATATGTCGCTGACTGATGTCAAGAAGAGTGTTGACATCGAGAGATTACGGCTCTTCGAAGTCGCATCGAGAAGCGCATGGATTACTTTACCAGCAAAGTCCTGACTAAATACATAAGAGGACAACCGTTCAATAGACCCCAAGCCCGAGAAAAAGATCGCAATAGCATGAGTGACTATTTCAACATCACCAAACATTGAAAACATTTTGTTTGTGATTCCAATAATTTCAGAGCGGCCAAAATAGTCTGGATAGAATTTAATAACTTTTGAAATGACATACACAGATGTTGCTCGATTGATTGGAACTTGATCATTCAGAAGTTGCCCAAGTGCAAGTACATGTGACGAAATCACCTCTGGTTTGATCCCACTTTCGACTAAAAGGGAAGCAAATACACTCATCGCCTGGAAACGAATTTGCCAGTTAGGGTTTGTGTATAAGGCCCCAATAGTGTTAGACATCTGTGTGAGCACACTCGGTCCAACACATTTCACCATTGTGGCCAGAGTGTCTTGTGACACAAAGCATACATCGTTCTCATCGATATCTTCTGTTGGAGATGGTACTGACGCAATCATTGCGATAATTTGTTGCGATAGAAGTGGGAAGACGGGTTGGATGACTGAGCGAGTTTGGGTTGTTTGATCCAACTCATTCTTTGCTACCGTCTCCCATAAATTCAAAACTGTTTTCTGAACGTCTAAGACTTGTGGAGTGCATGGCAATCCCAATATTTTCTGTGACACCTCCACCATCACACCTTCTATTTCCGAAAAGTTAGCAAAGCAGAAGTCGACAAAGGTGTTAATCACTTGGAATGATTTCAAGATGATATCGTTGTTATTTTGTTTGACTGCAGATAACACAAGTTGAAGTAATTGATTTCTTTTGGCGGGGTCATCTGTCACCTTTTTGAAATTGAAAATGTGATCGATTATGTCAAGCACTGCAACGCATGTTTCAACACTCACTGACACTATCTTGAAGCATAACATGACAACAGGATTAAACAATGGTTCTGCTGTTGGGTAGTCGGCGTCTTCAATAATATTAGAAATTGCTTTTAATTTTGGCAACGTTGGATCGACAGTCAAAAAGTTGATCAAATCTGGCCACCTTTGTGTTTTTAAGTCGATGACCGCGATATTTGAAATAATATTCGCACCCAAATTCTGGATGTTCATATCTGGTTCAACAAGAAGCCCCAATAATGCAGTGTGTGTCATTTGTCGTATTTGATCATTCATGGCAATCCATTTGTCGGCCATGGTTTGCGAATTCGCGCGGTTTTTAAACAAGTTCTTAAAAATAAGACCAGCTATTTGTCGAACTCCGACGTTCTGAGCCTTGTCAGAAATTACTTGAAGAAGTGTCAACATGTATTGCTGTGGATTCGATTGTTGAAATTGTGATAATTGCAACTCAGCTTGGGCGCGAAGTTGCGGATTTTGCGTTGCTACAATTGCCTGAACAAATTGTTCCATTCTGTTGATGTGTTTAAGTTTTCTTAGTCCTATTTTATTTCAAGGGTTAGGTTTTATTATTTACTGAATTCTTCAAAAGTACTTCATTTTTTCTGTTTTTCAAAAAAAATTTTACTTTTGGGTCTGATTTACTCATTTCTCCAATTATTAGTTTAATTATAATTGATGTATAATAATTATATAGTTTAAAAGACAAAAAAGAGATTCTCACCCAAAAACGATTAAAAAGTGATTTGATATAAGAAAGGTTAATTAAGGATTTTTTTAAATTGCTGAATATATTGAAATACATGAATTCTATGTGCCATTACACTATAAAAGTATAATACTCAACACAATAGTAACCAGATGGTTTTATTCTCAGATGTTGTTTCATTGTGTTTAAAAATGTTAATAAAATAATTATTCAATGTTTATAAACTGTTTTTATTAAAATATTTTTTTTGAAAAATAAACAAAATAATTTGAGGTTTGGGATCTATATAGTTTTTTGAGTTGGTCTTGATTACATTATAAGAATTAATGCGTCCACAAGATTTTACCTGTCTTCATTTCTAATTACCTGAAGAAATGGAGTTTGATGCTTTCAGTTTTTTGACCAATCATTTGTAGGTACTATAAATTAAAAAAATAATAAAAATATAATTATTTAACTTTTAAAAACAGTGGAGAAAAGTTATTCACTGGAAACTAACAAGTCTCTATGCTTCTAAAACAAATCTAAACATAATTGAACCAAATCTTTATGAATACTATTATTATATGTAACTATAATCATATAAAATTGGTTAAATACAGTTATTTTGTTGTAACAAACTTATTAAAATTCTAAAACTATTACCAAACTAAATTTTTTTCATTAAAATGTCTATTATGTCAGTCATAAAAAAAATAAAATAATTATTTAAAACAATTATAATATTATTTAAGTTTATTACTAATATGAATCTATAATGATTATTGTAATCATTATAAATTTTATTAACATTTTAAATTTTGATTTAAAAAAATTTTATTTATTTCCGTACAAGAAATAACAAATCAATAATAATAATATAATTATAATAATTTTTTTTCGTTGTTAAAAATCCAAATTTATATCTTTTTAAGTTTTTATTATTAATCTTTATTTGTGTAGAATTCCCATTTTTTGTATAAATTCCAGAGCTTCATAATATTAATTTTTATTTCTGGTTTTGTTGTTGATGAATTGCTTTCAAATTTGGGGATGTGGCACCACGTCATTATAACAAACCCATTATTAGTTATTGTGAAAAACATAACCAGTTTTTGTTTGAAAACCAAGTCATTATTTTGAAGCTATTACCAATAAATATTTTTTTGCTTAATATGCCCGTATTCTTATACTGTTTCATTATATCTTTATTTCCTATTAACCAATCGCCATTTTTTTATTTTTTTAGCCATCTTCTTTTTTCGGTTTTTATTCAAAACTAAATAGTAAACAAATGGTAAAAAAAACAATGGATAAGCCATAAGTCATTTTGCCATAAAAATAATTAATATGCTTATAATCCCGTTTTATAGTCATAAATTTATCTGTTTTAAACTAATTAAAACGAATGTTCCATTATTGATATTCGTTTTTCAAACGTCCTCGATTTTTAAAGAAAAGAAAAATAAACATATTTTAAGCTTTTTGGTGTTTTTTCAAATTATTTCGCACTTTACAGCCAAACCAAAATCCAGCATTACAACTTTATTCGGTCAAGATTTATTTAACAAATCTTAATAGTAAAAATCACTTTTTCTCTGTCAAACAGATGTGAATTGTCTAACATAATTTTATACTTGGTCCTACTTCGTTGCTTTTTTTCAATCATCTTTGCCTTTAACACTGTGTTATTTTCACTTTTCACACAACATTCGAAGCTTGAGAACACCCTTCTTTCATTCGAAGAGGTATATAAGTCGTGTCTTGCATCTGAAAATTCACATCACATGGCCTACACATTCAACACCACCAAGAGTCACTCAACTGCTGACTTCATCGAGGCGGATTTCAAATACGAAACCACCCAAGTCGAAGTCAAACCAGAAGGTGTAGTCTGCACTCCAAAATCACAGGACTACAAGTTCAAGGTTAACAAGAAGGTTCCCAAGATGGGCCTTATGATGATTGGATGGGGTGGAAACAATGGTACCACTGTCACTGCTGGTATTTTGGCCAACAAGCATCACCTTTGCTGGACCGACAAGAGAGGTGTCCATGAACCAAACTATTATGGCTCATACACCCAGAGCGCTACTATGAGACTTGGTATCACAACTGAAGGTGAAGAAATCTATGCCCCATACAAAGAGATCCTCCCAATGGTCTGCCCAGACGATATTGTCCTTGGTGGATGGGATATCTCTAAGACTAATATGGCTGATGCTCTTAAGAGAGCTCAAGTCGTCGACTATGACTTGCAGAAGCAATTGTACCCATACATTAAAGATTGGGTCCCATTACCATCTATCTACTACAAGTCCTATATCGCCGCTAACCAAGACGACAGAGCCGACAACGTCATCCCAGGCAATAAACAAAATCACTTGGACACCGTCAGAAAGAACATTAGAGACTTCAAAGCGGCCCATGGTCTTGACAGAGTTGTTATCTTGTGGACTGCCACCACTGAAAGATACGTCGAGTTGAAGGCTGGCTTGAATGACACTGCTGATAACTTGTTGAAGGCTATTGCTAACGACGAAGAGGAAGTCTCCCATCAACTATCTTTGCGACCGCTGCTATCTTGGAAGGATGCCCGTTCGTCAACGGCTCCCCACAAAACACTTTGGTTCCAGGTGTCATCGAACTTGCTGAGAAGCACAACGGCGCCGTGATGGGTGACGATTTCAAGACTGGACAGACTAAAATCAAGTCAGTTCTTGCTGACTTCTTGGTCTCTTCTGGACTCAAGTTGCAATCAATTGTCTCATACAACCACCTTGGAAATAACGACGGAAAGAACTTGAGCTCACCAAACCAATTCAGATCAAAGGAAATCTCGAAATCAAATGTCGTCTCTGATGTTGTCAAGTCGAACACGATTATGTATAAGAAGGGTGAACATCCCGACCACGTCATTGTCATTAAGTATGTCCCATACGTCGGAGACTCTAAGAGAGCTATGGATGAGTACACCAGTGAAATCTTCCTTGGTGGACATAACACCATCGCCTTACACAACACATGCGAAGACTCATTATTGGCTGCACCATTGATGATCGACTTGGCTGTCTTGATGGAGTTCATGACGAGAATCACTTACTCAGTCGAAGGAAAGGAATTCAGCCATTTCAATGCAGTTATGTCATTCTTGTCTTATCTCCTTAAGGCCCCAGTCGTACCAAAAGGAACCCCAGTAGTCAACGCTTTGTTCAAACAGAGAGAGTGCTTGGATAACCTCTTCAGAGCTCTCCTCGGCCTTCCCGCTGAGAATCACATGCTCCTTGAAGGAAAGACTCAAAGCTTTTTCTAATTGTGTTAAGCCTTTTTAATTTTTCTCGTGTTTTACAATTTTTATTATGAAATAAATAAAACTAAAACAATAAAAACTCTGGTGAACTTTTTTATTCATCCAATGCCTCGCGTTTTGAGTGTCTTGAAAAAAACGAAGTGCCAAAATTGTGGATCGATGAGTCACAACACACGAGATTGTTTAGAACGCCCGAGGAAGTATGGCGCGAAAGGAAAGTCATATACCCAACAAGCAATGAAAGAGACTTTGGATGTGCAACAATTGGAGAAGGAGAAAGATGCCCTTGATGAGAATATTCAAAAAGTTCTGAATGAAAAAAATGTCGAAGACTTTTTAGTGTCGAGTGATGAGATCAAAGGAATTAATGACATCGTCAATAAAAAAAGGATGGCAGTCAAAAATCTGAGAGAACTTGACGATGTTGCCCCATATTTGAAAGACCTTACTGGTGGTGATGCCACAATTGAGAGAAAAGTTGAAGATATCGAAAATGTGTGGGAAGAGGAAAAGGGTGTCAGTGAGACACTTGCTTTCCTTGGGGAGAAGTGACTGTTTTGTATTTTAAATCTTTGAATTACATCTCATGAATTTATTTGTATGCCACAAGTAGTACTCTTTTTCTTTGATAGAATAATACCCACCATAACAATTCATTGTTTTGAATAAATAATTGTATGGAAAAAAAGAAACTTGGAACTTGTAAAAGTAAAAGGGATGGCAATGTCAATGACTTTATGTTTACTTGGCTCATTGTTTGTTCTGATGCAGAAGTATATAAGGATGATCATGAACAACCCAATTGAGTTCATCAGAGTTATACTACTGACACTCACATTTCTCTCATTGATCTCTTTTAACTTGTCCCTATTTCTGTTGTTTTTGGTACTGTTCATCGCCTTCCCTTTAACACTCACTGAAGTCCCAACAAATTTGTCAGAGAAGTTCCCGAACAAATTCAGAAACGAAATTATGGCAGCAATAACTCCCTCTATGAAACCATTCAGCATGCCAATAAAATACGCAAATGGGATAACACAGACCATCGTTTCTGGTGCGTCGAAATTCAAAAAGGATTATATCCCTTTCAACCGTGAAATGATTGCTGCACCAGATGGTGGAGAATTTGCACTTGACTCTGCTGCACATCAAGAAGATTTAAGTGTGGACGCGCCTATCATTTACATTCTCCACGGACTGGCTGGTGGGTGTCGTGAACCATACATCCAACGCTTTGTGTACTTTGCAATGGAGAGGAAGTACAGAATTTTTGTGTTGACGAACAGGGGATGTGCGGGAACGGTAATGAAAACGCCACAAGCGTACTGCTCTATTTTCTTTGATGATGCTCTTCAATCGCTGGAAATGGTCCACAACAAATACCCAAATGCTCCAATTCATCTGTTAGGTTTCTCACTTGGTGCAAACACCGCACTTGGCTTGGCATCGCGATATAGTAATACGATGGAGGCACTGAATGTGTCGAGTGCTGTTGGGATTTCTTCGTCACTGTTTTTGATCAGTATCATGTTGTCCATAACACCAGCATTGGACCAAGTCTTCTCGAGTTTTGAACTGAAGTTGGTACAAAAGAACGTTGAAGTCTGGTTGGACGCAATCAAGAAGGAAAAGATTTTTGCGGATGTTGAGAAAATCATGGTATCGAAAACAATGAAACAGTTTGACGACGGGTTTACGTCGAAGGCATTTGCACTGGGGCAACCAAGCAATTATTACTACAACGTCGAGCAAATCCACCACTTCATGCGAAACACACGAATACCATGTTTAACACTCAACGCAGAGGACGACCCAGTTGCGATCATGACAGATCAACTCTTTGAACGAATGAAGAACATCGCATCGGTCTCCCCATTTTATATCCCACTCAAAACGAAGACAGGTGGTCATCTCTCGTGGACATTTGAAGAAGGAAAGAAGGGATATTATGACGACATTTGTCTCTCGTTTTTCGACAAGGTGAATGACTTGGTGAAGTGTGGGGAGTTGAAAGCAATGAGGGACGAATTGGTGCCGCAGTTGAATTAACATGAGTTGGTTGAATGACTTTCTATGTTGGACACATATAAGAAAAATAGAATAAAAATAGAAAAGAATATAGTTCAAAAAATAAAAGAGAAACAAGGGAAAAGAGAAAACTCGAAACTGCAAAAAGAGTAGTAAAAGACATGAAAATACCCTCATTTGTCAAATTTTTATTGTTGATCCTTTGTTGTTTGGTCATTTTTACACCAACATATCCCGTTTACTCGTATTCAACAGAGGAACACAGAATGGTCTATACTTCAGTGACATTCTTCTTGTGCTTCTTGGTGTGCTGCCTCGTTTCAAATCTGTTTGTGGAGGAGGAACAAGTTGTACCGCGAATGTTCCCAACCGCCGCTCCAATCTCACAAAAATCTGAATATATCAAGGCACTCCCAAGAATGTCCGCAATACCAAAACAAAGCACCGCACCAACAGCAGTCGGGATGGAACTCAACGACTTTGTTCTGAGAGAACAAAACATAACCGAAGAAATCCTCAAAAAGCAACAAGCACTTTTACTCGAGTCTGATCCTCTTGTACAGGCTAACCTCAAGGATGAAATCGCAAAACTTAATGTCGACCTCGTGAACGCTCAACAAGCTTCAAAACTGAAACACGACATGGAGAGAAAAAGAGTCTCTTCTGCTTGATTGTCTAAACAAATGCTAATGTTGTTCAGTAGGTGGTTATTACTTCTTTCTATTTTTTTATCATATTATATAGTTACGTTAACCATTACATCTACTTACTTGTATTTGGGTTATTATATTATAAATATTACTATATTATTACCCTTTTTTTCTGATTATCGTTTATTTTTTTGTAATTATTACAAGAAAAATATAAAATAAATAATACAGTTAGGAAAATGAACTTTAGTCCAAAGAAATTCCTATATTTTTCTTTAAAAACACGGGTTTTTACTAAAAAAACAAATATTTTAGAAAATTGACTTATTCATAAGTATAATTTATTAGTTTCATTTCACAATAGAAAATAATTAGTTTTTCTTTAGGCCAAGGCTAATTTGCTGGGCGAAGGTTTAATGGACGAACTGTAATAAAATAGTAACTAAACTTTAAATAAATATAACAACGTATTGATATTCGTTTGAGGCGAATTTTTTTTGGAATCAAGAAAAGCCCGTTATGTTAAGAAAAAATTGTATTGATTTAAAACACCCAAAAATGGATATCATAATCAAAAAAAGAGTTTGATTTTATAACAATTGTTTTCAAAATAATAATAAGAGTGGAATTTATTGGTTTTTAAAGTATAACTTAGCACATGATGCATATTTGGGAACAATTTAAACTTATTATCGATGAAATTCAACTATTTGTTCAAATTTGTATTAAGAAAAAAAAGGAGAAATGGGAGTGAACTGACATTTTCAAAACCAAAACTACCAAGAATTAATTTTCTCTCGAGTATCATAGTCAAAAAGTGGGATTTAATGTTCAAAAAAATAGGAGGTAATTGAACTGCCAAAAAAAGGGAATGTCACAAGGTGAAAGAATGGAAATAATAAAAAACAAAAAAGAATTTGCCGAGATGGGAAGAAGGAGTTTCCCGTGATTGTAAGAGAAAGTGGTTCAAAACTTGAAATTTCAAGTTGAACTAAAAAGAAAACTTTTGAGAGGAAAAAAGGAATAGTAAAAGAATAATAAAAATATAGAATTTGAATTATCACAAATTGAAACGAAAGTCGAAAATAGAGTGAACTCCAAACAACAAAGAATATGAAGAACGTTATGATGTTGATGTTACTTTCTTTGACCGCTTTTGGTGCAGATTATTCAGGATGTGGATGTTGTCATGTGAATGGAAAGTGCGATTCATTCTCAGGAACGTGGAGTACTTTATACCAATGTTTGTCGCGTGTCGAGAACACAAAATATCCTTCTGACCCCAATTGGTTCCATGTCCCACGTCAACCAAATATGACCTACCAACAATGTACTGTCCCAACAGGTTGGAGTGGATCTCAACCACAACTTGTTGTCGAAGATCCATGTGACTGTTTTGAAACAATGTCAGACTCGGTCACAAACACCTACGACTGTTCGAATGACACTGATTTGATGGAGGCGTTGGACGAGGTCTGCAACAACTTGAAGTGCAAGTTTTGCAATTTTGTCGACCCGAAGTGTGGAGCTATCCAACAAAGAAGATGCGATATGGTCTACCAACAGGAAATTGCACTCCACAAGACACCTTCTTCAGCTGATATCTGCAGAGCTCTTTCGAAAAAGACCGACTGCTACGATAAAAATAACTGCACATACTCAGACATCGCTCCAATGCAACAAACTATTAAACAGTGCAGAAACTCGACTTGCCCCTCATGTTATCAGATTTGCAAAAATGGCGCTGAGACTCTTTTAGTATCTCTTGCTCTCGCGGTATTAGTCCTTGTCTTCTAATTAAATTGTTGGGTTTTCGTTGTTATTCACCTCTTTTTTATCACCACAAATTATTCTCAAATTGGAGAAATTTCATGTAAGAAGAATTATTATTATTCTCAATTCCGTTGTCTCTTAACATAAATATAAAATAAGAAACATAAAAATTTTCCATAAGAACTGTATAGTCAAGACAATGATTTAATTCTTAATGAAACATGTAAATTCAATTCATGGGATCACTTCAATAGATCTGCATAAACTTCTTTGTTTGCTAATTGACTAAATTGCTGAAAGATGATGTCGGTACTAAATATTAACTCAGCGGGAATCTTCTTGTGAAGGTTCTGGAGTAATTCAATCATCCCTGAAAACGTCTTTTGCTCTTGAACAATGGACTTTGCATGCTCTAAGATTATAGCAGAAGTGAAAAAGAGATATAACTTGCGTTTGGGATAGGCAAAGAAAAAGTCCCACACACGCAAACACTCTGCTGGCTCAAAATCACGTTTGAAGAGTAAAACAATCCACTTGTAGCAAAAACTATACTCAACTTTTGTTCGCTCAAAGTAATCGTAGAGACCTGGATTCACAAATTTGATGATCTGTCCAACTTCATCAAACGATTTTTTACGAAGGTTTTCATCGTGTAAGTAATACGGCGAGATGACATCCATCACTAATTTGAATAACCAAAAGATTTCATGTTCTTCTGTTGCAATGTTCATAACTAAGCTACATAAATCGGACATTCCTTATTGTCAACGTTTATTAATTTGTCAACATAATTATAACAAACCTTGTCCATACAACACTTTAAAATTGTATATAGCGTAAGTCTTTAATACACTCCGCAATTTTTCGACGTTTTCTGGGTGATTCATAAAGATGGGTTTGTTGTTGTCCGTCCTCGTGACGTCTTTTTCAATTTGGTTTAAAGTTTTCATTAATGTGTCCCAATTGTGGAGCTGCTCGGGTTCAAAAAGCTGCCACTGCGACTTAATTTTATAGTACTGCTCCTTTTTCTTTTGATCTATTTCTGCTCGTTGTAATGAAGTCGATGAAAAAGGATAATACTCGAGAACTAATTTCCAAACAAATGGCCGCGCATCAGCCTCAACACCACTTATGTAGAGAGTCTTTCTAATGTCTTCTTCCGACTCTTTTGAAAAGCTGCCGTCGGGTGCACTATACGACATGACAGTTTTTAAGCCAACTGGCTTGATCTCATTAAGATCGACCGCATGAGGCACAATGAAGTCATCAGTTGAACCGAGACGTTTGTGTACAAGGTATACGTCTGGGGTATCATCTTTTCTGATTGTCAAATCGTTCATATAAAAAGATAACTGCATACAATTGAAACAACTATACAAAATACAAAAGAAACGAACGGGACGACAGTGCATTCACTGTGCTCTATAATGGTATTGAGTATTGCAGAGGGAATATCTGAACCACGAGGAATAAATAGAGATGGAAGTTTCTTGGTCTCGTCTTTTGTGGTGAAAGTGATTGTAGTGTACTTTTGAATAGGATAAGTGAAATGGATTGTGGTAAGATCATCACTTGAAAAGCAGAACGCGAAAACGATTTTTGTGTGTTTTGTGTCGGTGTGAAAATCGAAGCGGAGATGATTTGGTCTGTGTACCTTTGTAATAGTCAGACTTCCCTCAATAAGAGACATATCACCGTTTTGAACACTTACATTTGAAGCTAAAAAAATGATCTTTTCTGAGGTGGATTTACTCATTCGAGTAAATGTTTGATCTTTTGGTGTTCAATTTATTACTTTGTTTATTATTTTATAACTTTTTATTGTTGTTGTCTTTTCTTATATAAATAATAATTTTTAATTTGAACAACTAGAAATAAATAATAGAGCAAAAAAGGGGGATTTTTTTGCTCTTTTATTTATTTATAAAAAAAAAAAATGATGTTTTGACGAATTTTAGTAAGATCAAGAACTTGAAAAAAATCACAAAAATTTGAAAAAAAAAAGAAATATACCCCGAATATGAGATCTACTTTTAGTTCTCCACATCAAAGGAGAAGGAAGATAAAAGAAAAAAATGTTAAAGAAATAAAGAAAAGTGACAAATAAAAGAGAAAAGGAAATAGTTAAGTTGGTATACTATATGTTTAATAAAAAAAAACAAGTTATTTGGAACAGTAAAAACCCTTGGATTGTCATACGAATAATAATAAGGAATTGAAATTTGAAGGCAATAATTCTACTTTGGTATGTGAATAGCACGAACAGAATTTAGTAAGGTAAAAAATAGAACACACTCCTCAATCCTCTCTTGAGAAAAAAGAACTGAAAAGACAGTTAATAATGCCAAAAGGACGTAAAGGAAAGAAAACGACGAAGAAGGTTGTAAAAAAAGAGGAAGGAAAGCCAGAAGAAGTTGTTGAAGAGGTCGTCGAACAAGAAGATGTCCCAGAAGAAGAAAACAAGGAAATTCCAACTGAAGAAAAAAAGGCTGAGGAAGAAGCAAAACCTGAAGAAGCAACAAAGGTCGAGGAAGCAAAACCCGAAGAGGTTAAGACCGAAGAACCAAAAGCCGAAGAAGAGAAGCAACAAACTGAAGACGAAGAAAAAATGAAACAAGAGAAGGAAGCCGTTGAAGCTAAGGCCAAAGAAGAGGAAGAACAAAAGAAAAAAGAGGAGGAGGAAAAACTTGCAAAAGAAGAAGCTGAGAAAGCCGAGGCAGAAAAAGAAGAAAAGGAGGTGGCTGAAGCCAAAGCAAAAGAGGAGGAAGAAAGACTTCAAAAGGAAAAAGAAGAAAAAGAGGCGGCTGAAAAGGCTGAGCAAGAGAAACTTGCTAAAGAAAAATCTGAACAAGAAGAAAAGGAAAGACTTGAAAAAGAAGAGGCAGCAAAAGCTGAGGCGGAGAGATTACAAAAAGAAAAAGAGGAGCAAGAAGCTGCAACAAAGGCCGAGGAAGAGAGACTTCAAAAGGAAAAAGAAGAAAAGGAAAGAATCGAGAAAGAAGAAGCGGGTTTGTTTTTATCAACTTTATGATTTTAGAAGGCAAATATAACAAATTATTAATCACATTGAGTGTTGTATTAATAATTGTGAAGATAGTACAAAGTTTTAAAAAATTGCGTATCTGTTTATCTCATTTACATCACACAAATAGTATTAATGTATATTGACACTTAGCACGCATAGAAAAAGAAAAGGCTGAACAAGAGGAAAAGGAGCGGCTTGCTAAAGAAGAGGCAGAAAAGGCTGAAGCAGAAAGATTACAAAAAGAAAAAGCTGAGAAAGAAGAAGCTGAACGACTTCAAAAGGAAAAAGAAGAAAAAGAGGCGGCTGAAAAAGCGGAACAAGAAAGGATCGCCAAAGAACAAGAAGAAAAGGAAAGACTTGAAAAAGAAGCTGCAGCAAAAGCCGAGGCGGAAAGATTACAAAAGGAAAAAGAAGAGGCTGAAGCCAAAGCAGAACAAGAACGAATTGCCAAAGAAAAGGCTGAACAAGAAGAGAAAGAAAGACTCGAAAAAGAAAAATTAGAAAAAGAGGCAGCCGAAAAGGCTGAGGCAGAAAGAATTGCAGCTGAAAAGGAAGAAACCGAACGGCTTGCTAAAGAGAAGGCTGAAAAGGAAGCCGCAGAAGCCAAAGCAAAAGAAGAGGAAGAAAGACTTACAAAAGAGAAGGAAGCCGCTGAAAAGGCCGAGCAAGAAAGAATTGCAAAAGAAAAGGCTGAACAAGAAACAGCAGAGAAACTTCAGAAGGAAAAAGAAGAGCAAGAAAAATTAGCAAAAGAGAAAGCGGAACAAGAAGAAAAGGAGCGGCTTGCTAAAGAGGCAGCTGAAGTAGAAAGAGTACAAAAAGAAAAGGAGGCAGCCGAAAAACAAGCACAAGAAGTTTCACATGAAAAGAAAGACAGTGTTGGTGAACTACAAAAAATTGATTCTCGCAAAAATATTCCACTTCCAAAGAACCGAACACCAAGAACAACAAATACTACTTTGACAGAAGTGGCCATTGAAAATGCAAATGACGAAAAGGCTATCAAAGAAGAAGAACAAAAAGTGTCGTCTGTCCCAGTCCAAGCCGAGGTCAAAGTCGAAGAGAAAAAAGAAGAAAAAATCGCCCCAGTTGAACCAACAAAGACAAAGGCAGACACTCAAATTGTTGTTGGTGATGGCGTCACTTCGAAGACCATGAAAATTATTATGATTGGTGAGAGTTCAGTGGGAAAAACTTGCTGCATGAACAGATACACCACCAACGAATTCAGTGATATGACAAAAAGCACTGTTGGTGTTGGTGTTGGGTCAAAGGACATTGTGGTGAAAGACAAGACAGTGAAGTTACAACTCGTTTGTTTATTCATAAATATAGTAATTTGCAACTCAAGACTAAAGAGTAGTGGGACACCGCTGGACAAGAGAGATTTGCAACACTTTCTTCAAATTATTTCCGAAGTGCGCTTGGAGGAGTTATTGTATTTGATGTATCGAATAGACAGAGCTTTGAGAACGTCGAGACATGGATAGAGGAGTGCAAAAAATACGAAGAGAAGCGAGTCATTGTATTAGCTGGTAATAAAATTGATTTAGGTGAAGGACGTGTTGTGACCAAGGAAGAAGCTGAAGACAAAGCAAAGAAGCTTGGGATCAAATACTTTGAAGTCTCTGCGAAAAGTGGATTTGGGTTGGAGGAGTTATTCACAGATTTGGCAAACAACATTGCGGAATTGCCGACTGAAGAAAAGAAAACAGAAGAAGTATCCATCAATCTCGGCTCAGAGAAGCCACCAAAGAAAGAGGGTGGATGTTGTTAAATCGGGGGTTTTAACAGTTGTTTTGATTAATAAATATGTAATACTGCTCTAAACTAGAATACAAAATTTGAATAAATATTTCCATAATTTGAAGACATGAAAGTATAAAAACAGGGTTTGGTCATTCATAGGATGGAAATTGAAAAGAAGCACCCCACTGCACAGAGTGAGCGAGAAGAAATACTCCAACAACGAGAGGAGCTGCCCGTGAGGAAATCAAGGAAAGAAATTATTGCGGAGATCAAACGAAACCAAACGATTGTCATCATGGGGGAGACAGGGTGTGGTAAAACAACACAAATACCACAGTTCTTGTTGGAAGCCAATTTGGCAAATGACAAGAAAATTGGAGTGACACAACCCAGACGTGTGGCTGCAATCACATTGGCACAAAGAGTTTCCAAAGAAATTGGCGACACCGTTGGTGAGCGAGTAGGGTATCGTGTTAGGTTTGAAGAGAAAATGTCGAAACGGACACGTATAGAATTTATGACTGATGGTATGTTGTTGAGAACTGCATTGATAGAACCCGACTTAAAATCGTACGGAGTGATTGTTCTTGATGAAGCCCATGAAAGAACAGTCCACACTGATATCCTTATTGGACTCTTGAAGGGTATCATAGAAAAACGGAACGATTTAAAAGTGGTGATAATGAGTGCTACACTTGACTCAAAATTGTTCAGTAACTTTTTCAATGGACCGACACTAACAGTCCCAGGAAGACAGCACCCGATAGAAGTCTTTAATTTGGACGAAAAGGAAGATTCCCCAATTGATGTCTCAGTTGATGCCATTCTTCAAATCCACATCACAGAAGAGACGGGTGATATTTTGGTGTTTTTACCCGGGCAAGAGTCTATTGAAACAGTTGAATCAACGTTGTTGGAAAGACTCAAAAAGGCTCCAATCACTGTCAAGCCTTTGTTGATACTTCCGTTGTATTCTGCACTCCCACCAGAGCAACAGTTGTTAGTCTTCCAAGCGCCTCCTGAAGGCACACGAAAAGTCGTTTTATCAACAAACATTGCGGAGACATCGGTTACTATTCCTGGTGTAAGATACGTTGTTGACACGGGTATGATGAAGTGTAAAGAATACAACAAACGAATTGGGATGGAGGCGTTAAAAACAATGTTCATATCACAAGCACAGTCACTCCAACGAACGGGTAGAGCTGGCAGAGAAGCACCAGGAAAGTGTTTTAGGTTGTTCACCAAAAGCAATTTTGACAAATTCCAGCCCTCTCCAACACCAGAAATTCAAAGGACCTCATTGGATGGTGTTGTGCTACAACTTAAAGCGCTCAACGTCGTGGATGTCACTAAATTCAAATTTCTTGAACCACCACCCGAAGATTCGATTATACGAGCAGAGATATCACTTGAAAAATTGGGCGCGGTGGTTAACAAAAGGATCAGTGATTTGGGGAAAATTATGGTTGCGTTGCCAGTCTCGCCGCCATACGCTAAAACAATAATTGCGGCAGCACAATCAAATTGCTTGGAGCACATTCTATGTATTGTTGCTATGTTGGCAGTGGACACGCAATTCTTTGTGTCAGCTCCAGCAGTCAGAGAAAAATCACAAATGACAATGAAGATGTACTCCTCTGACTTTGGTGATCATTTTATGCTTCTTTCACTCTTCTTGGCTTTTCGGAAGGTTGGAGTAAATAGGCGAAAGAAGTGGTGTGTTGAAAACGCGTTGAACTTCAAGGCGCTGAGTACTGCACTATCTACACACAACCAATTGGTCGAGTACTGCGTCGACGTGTTGGATAAAGAACTAAAAAGTTCTCATGCAAAGGAACAATGCACAGAAGAAAAGATCAAGAAAATGACAAATGAGGCGGTCACTGACGAAATTGCAAAAAGCATCAAAAAGGCGTTTTTAGTTGGGTTTCCTGATAACGTTGCAATCAAACAACCCAACAACGTGTATTTAACAACAACTCAAAAGGCCGTGCACATCCACCCATCAAGTTGTTTGCACAACAAAAAGATTCAATACGTCTTGTTTTCTGAACTGATTTACACTACAAAACCGTTCATACGGTCTGTGCTGGCGCTGGACAAGGAACTTGTTCTTGAGGAAATGCCGCACCTCATTTCTGATTGACTGTTTTGCTGTTGTATTCATTCAAATGAAAATAAACTATACTCGCAAATTAAACTTTGCACTTATTGAACAATGCATCGACCTCTTCTTTGGGAAGCCTGTGCTCTTCCAATGATTTCATAAACATGTTTGCTGTTGGCATCTTTTCTGGTGGAAGGAGACAGAGCGGTGTTTTGAGTTTTTGTTGCAACTCGTCACTGCCTTTCATTTTTGGGACGTACGTATGGATGTAATGGAGCACGTTGTTTGTTACACTCATTAAAGCGACAATACCATCCATCAAAATGTAATCAAATACACGAAGTGACGTTTCTATATTGAATGCATGAATAAACCAGAGATATTGCCACTCAAATATAAAGAACGGGTATGGGCAGTCGATGATTTCTTGTTTTTTAAAGCACTCAAACATTTCAGGGTATTTCTCTTTCATGATTTCACACGTCATTTTCCATAGTGTTTGTATCAAATCGAAATCTTTGAACATGTCTTTCCATTTCCATTTCTCTTCACATATTCTTTTGGTAGCAGCATACGCCTCAAGTGGCGTCAACTCTAGCACAAACACCGAGACAACACTCGACATACCTTGAATATATCCCAGTTCAGGTTCGATCAATGAAAACGAATGTAAAACATCAAATAGCTCTTTTTGTCCTGCACCAAACCGCACCTTATATTTGTAGTGCAACTGAAAAGTCCTGTTGATGTCCAAATCAATTTGTTTATCGTGTGGACTTCTCACATCTTTTTCGTTAAACTTCTCAAATTCAGTTTTTGTCTTTTCGTCAATGGTATCAAGGTTTAATAGCTTTTTCCATAACATCGCTTTGTATTTACGGGGTGCTCCCTTTAAGACGCGCTCAACAACTTTACGGGGTACGTTTGTGGGAGTCCAGTTCGAAATCATTTTTTTCCACTTCACATCACGATATTCCTCCTGTTTTATTTTGTGTTTGGAAAGCGTCTTCACGTCGTATATTTGGCACTTCTCTTTGTCATCAGTATGTAAGAACCCAAACCTGTTTGCAACATCAGGTTTTTCCACACTGTTCTGCCCAAGATCGTAACACACTTTAATATCCATTCGATCGTTCACCTCAAGTATCATTTTGGTCGATAAGTCAAGTTTGTTTTCAAGTGCGTACTCAACAGCCAATTTCCCAGCTTTGTCTTTTAATCGTGTGTTCTGCTGATTGCTGATGGGCTTCACACAGAGTACATCGTCTTTATTCTGTGAGCAGTAATGGTGCAAAAAAGTCTTTCCTTCATCATCTTCTACACATGAGTATATGCAAATTGTACTTTAAAAAATAACAAACGGTACATATAATTGATCGCAAAGTTTGTTGTAAGATCTTTGATAGCATCTGCGTTTGCTGCTTTGCATGCCTCAATCAGTTGCTTTGTTTCGTTTTCTCCCATTTCTGGCTTTTGTGGCTCTGTTTTATTTGGTTCAGTCTTCTTTTCAAGGTCTTCTTTGGGGGGTTCTATTGTGCTTTCTTTAGGGGTGTTAATTATGGGTTCGTTTTGTTGGTTAACTTCTTCTGACGAACTTTTCTTTTCTTCTTTTTTTATGTCATCCATTTGATTATTTGATAATTCATCTTTTTTTGTATCTTCTATTTTATTTAAATTTGCGTTGGTGTTGTCCTTCTCATCTCTCATGTCTTCGATAGTTTCTTTATTTTGTTTTTCTTGCTTGTTTTCCGGACTTTCTTCCGATGATTCCTCTGTTTTTTTCTCCTCTTTATTTTTGTCTTTATTTTGTTCTTCTTCCTCTTCAGTTTGGTTTTCAATAAAAGGCGCTTCTTTAGTTTTTTCGTTTTTGGGGTCTACCACTTTTTCTTCTTTTTCTTCTTGTACGTCTGATACAAAGGATTCCTCTCCATCTATCGGATTGTCGTTTTTCTCTTCGTTTCCATGTTTGACCTCTTCAGTTGCTTTTTCTTGAGAACGAAGGTCTATTTTTGGTGGCTCGCCAACTTCATTTGGTTTTGTTTCGTTTTGAAAATGATTTGTACTATGTGATGTGGCAGATCCTGTTGAGCTGCTGTCCATGATCCCAGCGTTGTCACATTTCTCGTTATCCTTTGACATGGCTGAAGTTATTGACTTTCTAGTTTGTTCGAACCAATTTTGTGGGTAATTTAGTAATTAATTTTGGGTACTATTAAGGGTTTTACCCACTTATATATTAATATAAAAAAACAAAAAATAGCGGATAATCATTTTTCTGTTTTTTGTTACTTTCCTTCTTTAACAAAATACAAAAAATAAGCAATGAAACTTTTTTTAACAGGTTAGATTTTTACCTTGTAATTATTTTAAAATGGAGAAGTAATAAAAGGCAAATTTTAGTTTGGTTTAAAAAAATAAAGGGGAAAACCTGTTAAAACTATAAGGCGGTTTTTTTGTCCGCCAACAACTGAAAGAAAACAAATAATAATTGAGAACTAATTTGACTAAGATTTGCCAAATATCAATTTTTGGAAAAGATTTTGGGGTTTCCCACGTTGGGTTGGTTCACTTTAACACTTAAATGGCTTAAAGAAATTTTTTTGAAGGCAAGGAAAAAAAAGACATAGAAGCCAATTTAAAAAAAGTACTTAAAACAACCCATGTCCCTTTTGGGACATAATCTTACTCAAAAAAAGTATAAATGTTAACTCGATTATATAAGATTTTGCATTATTTTTTCAAAAAATACACTTTTCTCTCAAATTCTTTGATAACGATTATACTATACTCATTTCTATTATTTATTACTATGTATCACTTGTGTCGGTTTTCATTCAAACCAACGTGTATACATAGTGACATTATCATACTCAAACATACTTATTTGATTCTCAAGTTAATTAATGTTCTAACTTTATTTTTTCAGTTGCCAAATGAAAATCATTTAAAAAAATTCAGAATAAAAAAATATTTTTAAAAGTCACTTATTTTAGAAACTATTATTTTTTCTTGGGGTTTTTGCATTTTGGGCACAAGAAAAGTGAGTGTTTAGTGCACACTGGAAAACCACAAGATTCACATATTCTTTTTGTTCGAGCCTTTTCAACTTTCTTGCAAAAAGCACAAAATCTCTTTTTGGCAACTGTTAGTGATTTTTTTCTTTGGAATTTGTTATTTTTTTGTTTTTCCCAACAACGTCTTCCCACCATTTTTGAAGTCCACACTCAACAAACAGCTGTCTTTTTTCTTCTCCTTTTTTCATCCCTCGATCAAGCCTTCTTTTAACGTAATTCTCACACATTTGTTCAGACAATTTAATTAAAAAATCAAAATGAGACATTTTTGTTTTTTCAAACATGGCATAGGCATTAGTGCAGCAACAATCCAGGATATTTTGAACAATTGCCAAATTGTATCTTCTCGTTTTCATTTTGCACGAATACTCTTGGCAAAGTTGATCAAAAGTATCAACTGGAGTTTTTGTATAATTGTAAGCCACATTTATTGAAGATTTTCCACTTCGAATGTCAATCAATGGAATTTGAATTTTATTGGTAACAATAATGACAGTTTTGCTTTTGTTTGGGTTAAAAGCAGTCAAAAGAATGTTCCCTTTTGAATAAAAGCGTGTATTTTCGGGATTTTTTTCTTTTTCTTCTTCTAATTTCATTTTTTCTTCTTTAATTTCAATCTTTTCTAAATTTAAGAATTTTTGAAAAGATAGAATTTTTTCAGCTTTTTCTTTGTATTTTTCCCTTTTTGTTCGTTTTTTTGGCTCAGCTGGACCAATTTCCCCAAGTTTAAAAAAATTTTGTCCCATTCCTCCTCAATTTTCGCAATCGATTTTTTGTTTTTCTTTTACATTTTTTGTACTTTCCTTTCTTTTTCTAAATATGTGTTTTTTTTTCGCTTCAGAAGGAATATTTTTGCTTCTTTGGTTCATGGTACCTATGTACCCGATTTTTCGGACTTCCAACTCCTGCATTACCGTGACACTTGTAAAATAATTGTCACTCTGAAGTAAAAATTCTTTTTTTGGGAGGTTTTGTACTAATTTTAGAACAATTGATTCTCCATGACTCAACCCGTTTTTTCCTCGAGTTTTCCCTCATATAATGTCATTCCGATGCACATTTTTTTGTCATAAAGACACAAACAGTAAAATTTTAAGCCGTGTTTTGTGGGTTTGGCTGGGCAGTACTGAATACCATGACAACGGCCTTTAAAACCAAACATTCGCTCATCTATACATATCAGGGAACCGGGGTCGCATATTGCCGTGATATTTCGAAAAAAAATATCAAAAATTTCTTTTGTTGCTGAAAAATTGGTTTTTTTCCTTTTTTTGATCTCTTTCATTTTTTGTCGCACCGGAAACATCGAAACAATTCTTTGAATCTATCTCGCTTCATGCCTATTCTTAAAAATATAATCCCGAATTTGTGGCTCCAAAGGCGATCAACGTTTCCCCTTCTTTGGTTTGCCCCAATATAAATCAAAATGCCAAGAAAACATTCAATTTCTTCGAAATCAGTTGGGATCCATTTCCCGTTAATTAGTTCTTCTGCCTTTTCATTTGTACCTTCAACAATTAATTCAATCATTTCATTTGAAAACATTTTTCTAAAACATTCCAAAGGAGATTTGAAATCTTCAGAAAAAACGGTTTTCGAAAAATTTTCTTTTTCACAAAACTTTTGAAAATCAAAAATCCCAAGTTTTGGTTCGATTTTTGACCATCCATCCAAATAATCATCTTTTTCTTCAAAAAAATATTCTTCTTCATTTTCTATTTTTTGATCATATTCTTCAACATGATTTTCACAAAAAATGGATCATTACTTTCGTCATCACTTGATATTAAACAATCATCTTGTTGGTATTCACATTCCATGAATTGAAAAATAAGAACAAAAAGGCAAAAAATAATAATGGTAAAATTTTGTTTATGTATGTCCATTAAGGAAAGGTTCAGCCAATTAAGTGTTAAGTAAACAAATATTTTGGAAGTGCGTTGACAATAATTGGATCCATTTGCCCTTCGAATTTTTTATCAATGAGTGTCGAGAGCAGCAAGCTCTTCAACATAGAGACAGTTTCTATCACGCATTTATTTCTGTTTTTGAATTTCTTAAATGACACAGAACAAAACAAACTTTACCAACTATGCGTTTATAATTCACGCGTACAATTTATGTGTTCGTATTTTTTCGGCGAACTCGTTAATAACATTATTATTATTATTTAGTTTTTCGTTTTTGGGTTTTTTAATTTTTTATTATTTTTAGAATAGTTTCATCAATCACACATTTTTAAAGGAGGATTTTTTTCTGTTGATTTACAGTTGTGAAAAATATGATACTTTCAATTCGCACCATTTTTTATTGAGATTATTTGTCGTTGGAGGTTTTAAAGTGGTTTAATTTAAAAAAAATCGAAAAAATGTGAAGTTATTGCAAATTTTATTAATCTGCTTATCATTGTATCCATTTCACGTGGAATTGTGAATGCACGTGATAATTGTTGATTATCTGTTATGAAATCTCAAATAACTTATTACGTCTTTTCATTTTATTTTTCAAATACGATCTAGAATTTAAATTACTCATTTATTTGTGATCAATTTTTTTTTCGAGTTTTTTAATGGGCAAATATTATTATTTGGTTAATAATAAACGGACAAAAATCCTTCTTATAATATTTACCTGTTAAATAAAACCAAATATTTTTTTTCATTTGTGTTTAGTAAAATAATGAGTTTTATTTTTAATATTAAATAAATTAAATTAATAGTAACACTTTCATTATTTTTAATAACAATTTCGTCATATAAAAAACATAACCTTGTTTTGTTATTAGGTTGTATCGGAGTGTTTTAAAACTTGCAGATAAATACAAGTTAAGTGATTAGATTTATAATCCCATTTTTACAGAAATTTTAATTGTAATATTTTAAACAAAATTGTAATTACAATTTATTGTTTCTTTGGATACTCTGATTGTATGTTTTTAATAATAAATTATGTATAAGCCAAAAATCACAAACATTAAATGAATGAAGACGGGACCAGCTTTTTCCACCACCTTAACCAAAATAAAGTATTTGCCGCGAGTGTTTTTTGAAGGAAGTTCATTTTTCAGCCACTGTTTGTGCGTCCCCATGTCGCCCACTTTCCTTGTCCGTACTGTGTGGACGCGGATGTGGTTCCCCCCGCTTGCGGGGGGGTCAAGGGGGATCCGCGCCAAGGGAGGACTTGGAAAGTGGGTGAAACGGTGCACAAACAGACTGTTTGAGTGCGTCTTTATGAGCCTTCTTTTCAATGCTCCGTCTCGCTCGGTTTCCACTGACTCGAGGTGTATTTTCGGCATTTCTTGAATTCGGGAACCAGACCTAATATCTTCCCAGTTTCCTATTTACTATAATTTTAATTTGAATATTATATCAAATAGTAAAAATAGTCTATTTTTAAAGGTGATGGTGGTGGAATAAGCCTTACCCAATGAAGACACTGTAATTTGTGAATGATGTCTGTAAATTGGTTTATCATTTATTATCTAAAATTAAACAGACTTGTGTAGTGAATGAGTTATTGGGGTTTCAACTGTATTTAAATTAAGATGGTTACACTCCAAATAATTAACATACACAACAACTGAGTTTGTGCAGGGTCCTCCAATTTAGTATTTTTTTGACAAGGGTTTCATGTGAAAAATAATGGTAAAAGAATTTGGAAAAAAACAGAGCTCGAAAACAAAGCAAAAATTACCTTATTTGACCAAGATCAGATTATTGACACAAATATAAAAATGTAAAAATAAATCAACAAAAACAATGATTATAAGTATATTATTATTTTAAATTATTAACATGAGTACTTTTGTATTTAGATAACAGTTTTATTATAGATAATAAAATAAAGAACTCAAAACAATATAAAATGAGACGCTCACTACCCATCGAACAAAAAATCGACCATTCAAGAATATGGGAAAATAGAATGCTTATTGAAGTAGACAAAAAGAAAAGAATTTTTGTTTGCAAAGTGTGTGGGTTAACCATAGACAGAAACCAAACTATATCACACCCCAATATTCACAAAGAAGATATAAAAGATCCACAAATAAGAAAAATCATTCTAACCGCTTTTAATAGTGGAGAAAAGGTTGCAATGTACAAAAGGTTCGGTCCAGCAGTTGTAGCTTCATCAACCAAAAGAAATGATGCTGAGTTGGTTCAAGCGGGAAGAGAATTAACTGGACAATTATCATCAATAATGGCTGCAAATAATATTATAAGTAAACATGCGGCACTTAAAGAGATTATTGATATTATAGGAGAGTACATAAAAAAAGGAATCGAAATTCTCGAAAAAATAAGAACAAGCGAACAGACAATTACGAGAAAAGTGTTTGAACAAGCGGAAACATGTGTTAATGAAGTTGACCAAATACTCAGTGATAGTCTTTATATTGGAGTGTTGGAGGACGAAAGTAAAATATCAAAAGATTCGTGGTACTCGTATTACATCAGAGCTGTTGACAAAGATCTCAAGATACACACAAGGCTTCTCGAAGCAAAAGTTCAATATGGAAAGGCGTCTGGTTTGAATCTGTCATATAATATGAAAAGAGTATTGGAAGACCACAACATTGATTATAAGAAAGTTGCAGAAATAGGGACAGATGGTGGAAGTAATACAAGAGATGGTGGAAAGGGTATGGCCGGTCGTATTGTGAGTGATTTGCAAGCAATTGATAATAGGTACTGTCCAATTTTTTCAATGTGGTGCATGTGTCATCGTCTGAACCTTTGTGTCGAGGAGTGCATTACAGATAATGGGGTTAATGATTGTATTTATATCATATCTTCTGTTTGTGATTTTCTTCGAGATGACCCAAAATTCAGAGAACAATTCAAATGTGCTCCTCCAACTTACGTTAAAACTAGATTCCTTTCACTTGAGTGTGTCTTTCGGTGGGTCTATAATAATTACGATAACATCACCATCTTTTTGAAATGTTCGATTCATGATGAATTTGAATATGGTGATTATACAATTGGTGAACTCAAAGAGTTATTCAAAAGTAAGGAACTTAGATATAAGGTCTCGTTTATTTTAGATACATTGGGAATTGCTCAAGAATTAAACCGAGAGCTTCAATCAAAAAGAGCTATTTTATTTCGAAGTTATAAGAAAGTGCAAAAACTTATAAAAAGGATTGAAGAGATGAAAATAGAAATTGTAAATAAAATTTTTTTTACACTTTCCACATCTCGATTTTTTAAGGACTCGACATTTTCAACAACAGGAATGTATTCAATGTTGGAATGTTTACATTCTGCCCTCAGAGTCCGTTTTGCATCAGTTGCAACATCTCCAGTTTATCATGTAACCAGCGTCGAGTATATTAAAAGAATGGGTAACAATCTACTTTCTAAACAATTACAAACGGATGAATTTGGACAGTTAGACGATTTTTGTGAATTGGCAATGAACTTCGACGATTATATTACAACAAAAAAGCCGCTTAATTTAAATACTGTATGTCTCCAGGATGAAATTAATAAACTCAGAGGAGCTCCGGATCTTGAGGCTTTCCGTCAAAAGACTCTGACAGAAAAAAGGTGGTACTGACACGACGTTTAAATCCTTTAGATCTAAGTTCGTCTTTGGACTTACTTGATTATGCACCATTTTTTGAAAGTGGGTCTAAACTTTACTGTTTATTAGCAATGCTTCTTGCAATGTCACCCACCACTACTATATGTGAATCCAGTTTTTCTTTACTGAAAAGATACAACAAAAACAATCTTGCTCACAATTCGTTACGAGCGAGAATGTATGTCAAAGACAGAGCTCTCAATAAAATGGAACTATTATAAATTTAGTAATTTTTATGTTTTGTTTAACAACAACAATTAACTGATGTTTTTGATAATTATTTTGAAAATACTTAACAATATCTTGTTTATTTTAAAGTGGCTTCACAAAATTTTTGTTTTAAAAGCCATCTTTTTAAAAATCCGATATTAATATGTTTTATTATCGATATAGATTTTTTTCAATTCAAAGTTGCCACGTTTTATGAATTTGCCACGTTTACAGTTTTTATGACAAGGGTTTGGAAAAAGGAGGACCCTGGTTTGTGATTGTTTTACAATACAGTCAGTCGTTTAACGTTATCTGGTGCTTTTTGGACCATAAAAAATGGAATAATTCGGGGAGCAGTCCCAAAAAATCCATCCCAATTGATTCGGATTATTTCACGCTTTACCTAATGCCCGATGTTTAGACAAAAATGAAGGTATTTTTTGTTCACCAAATAACGTTTGGGACCAGATAACGTTAGAAAACTGACTCTATTTACAAACCAATAATCTCAGTTTAGGGGTTTGTCATTACGTGTATTAACTATACACGGAATGACTATACTCATTTAAAAATTATAAAACCACATTGTCGTATTTATTTTACCCATTATGATTAAATACTTCTATAATCCATTATTATAGTTCCAATATTGTTTTTTGAGATTTATTGAAAAAGAAATGTCGAATATGAAACTCAAAAAAAGGCAGTAAGATGGATGATGATGATTTTTACGATTACGAACAATATGGTCAATACAAAATAAATCACCAAGCACCACTACAGATAGATAAGATTCGACAACAACATCAACAAAAAAGAGTATCGTCCGTTGTCCCTTCTTTTTCATCAAAAGGATTAAAAAATAAGTTTAGTCCATCATTCAAAGAAAAGGAACAAACAAAACACAAGAAACAAATATTTGAAGAAAAAAAGTGTTATTACTGTGGAGAGAGTGAAGGGGTTGTGAAGTGTGTTTGTGGGAAATATATTTGCAATGGTCCAGTATCCAATTGTGGTGATTGTCAGATCTTGGTTCATATCAAGAATTGTCGCCATTATACTTTCTCGTGTGGTGGTCATAATATTGAGTGTTGTCGTTGTGGGGACACAAATATTTTTGACTTGTTATTTCGTCTTGGTGATCCGAAGTTTTATTGCAGTGATTGTCTAAAGGAAAACGAGAGATTTTTGTACAGTGAACATGTTGCAAAACAAGGTGTATTCTCTTTAAATAATTTAGATCAGACACAAACAATTGGCACATCAGTTCATGTTGTTAGCCTTGATGTAGTGAATGCTATTGACGATGTAGTGGAAAACACTTTTGTTGAGGCAAGAGTTCGAAACAAATATTTGTCACCGAGTGAATATTGCTCTGTTTATAAAACACTTGTAAATTACGAAAATCAACAACAAAGTTGGGAGGAGTATGTGATTAAGACGGAGATAAATTTTATTAATGAAAATGACCGTGTGTTTGCTGTTATAAGTAGAAAAAAGCACCAGAAAATGCCTCGTTCAACGTCGAAATTTATATTATGTGGAAAAGGACAGAGGGGGATTTTAAACTTGGAAACACTTGACTTTGTGATTCTCAATTGTGCTACTTTGTTTTCCAAATGTGATTTTGTAGTGTATGGCGAGGTTCTTTCTACGGGCCCAAATTCAGCGAAATTGCAAATCAAAGAAAATTATTTTCAAGAGTTATTACCTCAATATTTTCAAGAAGTCCCAAAATACCTATTTGGCGCTAAAGAGAGTTGGAAAACAAAAATATTCCGTTTGTATGTATTGACGGATAACTGTAGCTCGGAAGTAGTCACCAATGGTCTTCACCTTTTTGAGAAAAGGCAAAACACAAATGAATACATCAGTACTATTTTAGGAACAGTTGTGCCAAAAACAAAGGAAGTGTTTAGTTTTATGGATATCAATCCGCCTGGATTGAAAAATCCGGTTGAATTGAATGCAAGTCAAATTGCTGCTGTTTTAAGCGCTTTAAATAATCATTTGTCATTAGTTGTGGGTCCTCCAGGGACAGGGAAAACATCTGTAGCAGTTTCTATTGTACAACACATTTTGTTCTACCGAGAGAAAATTGAGATACAACGAATAGAAATGAATACTGGAAGAGATTTTATTCCACATAGAGGTAAAGACATTTCTATCAACAAAAAGGTCTTGGTGTCCGCTTCAAGCAACAATGCCGTGAATGTGTTGTGTGAACGTCTTGTTGATTTTGGAATTTCTGTTGTGAGAATTCCAGCTGACGAAAAGTACGCTGATTTGAGCGACAAAGTTAGAGGGGTTTCGCTTCTGTACCGAGCATATGAATATTGCAAACATGCTGATGTTGACAAAGATGGTAACAGCCTTTCTGATATTCAAAATTTATTGAAAAAGAAAATAGACAGTTTCTTCACTCAACAAGAAAATAAAGAGATATGTCGGATAGAAGAGGAATACAAAGAATCGCCAAAACTTCAACTGATGTTTAAAGACTTTCAAAAATACCTCTCGTTCGCAAACAACAAACTGTACCAACGAAAAAGGATAACACTCAGTGACACTGAAAACAAAACAATCAATGACTTTACAAGGATAAACCTTGCAGAAATTACAGAAAATTATGACGTTATTGCAGCTACATTGTCAAAGGCTGTTTTCAAAATAAAATTTGCGTGCGCAGTGATTGATGAATCAGCACAATCCATTGAACCCGAAACGTTTAGTGGGATTATGAATGTCCAAAAGGCAGTTTTGATTGGTGATATTCAGCAGCTTCCTCCGACAGTCGTCTCGAATGAAGCAAAGAATGGCGGGCTTGAAAAGTCAATGTTTGAACGACTTTTACAAAACGGTGTTGCTTATGCTCTCCTCACTACACAATACAGAATGCACCCCGCTATTTCGCAATTCCCAAATAACAATTTTTATAATGGAAAACTGGTGGATGGTGTTGATGAAGATGACAGATTTGATGAAAGAATTGAAGGACTTTTCCCAAATAACGAATTTCCAGTGATGTTTGTTCATTGCAAAGGCGATGAATTTTATGGAACAAGTGGGAAGAGTTATGGAAACGACGAAGAGAAGAAAGTTGTGAAATTTATGGTAAAAAAATTGAATGAAAAAAATATAAGAGATGATGAAATTGGTATTATCTCGCCATACGCTACACAACGAGAGTTACTTGGGGAAGAACATAAGACCATAGAAGTATCAAGTGTTGATGGATTCCAAGGAAACGAGAAGCCATTTATTATCATATCATGTGTGAGGTCAAACGAGAATCGTGGCATTGGATTTGTTGGAGATCATCGAAGACTTAACGTTTCGCTAACACGAGCAAAATATGGGTTGGTAATAATAGGTGATGCTTACACACTTATGATAAACCCAATTTTCAAAAATTTGATGAAATTTTTGTATGACAAAAATTGCTTTGTTGTTGCAAAGGAGGTCGAAGGAAAAGTCTGTGTTGTGAGCGAAGAAGTTCCTACCATCGAAAAAATAAAACTGGAGAGGTCACAATTTCAAATGGTGTATGACGCGAATGAAGAAAACTCAAGTAAAATCGAAGAAATCGAAAAAATAATTGAGGAAAAAGAGTTAAATGAAATTCGCAAAATACGGAAATTCGAACCGCCTAATTTGGACGTCTCACGTCGCTGCAAACAACCAAGTGAATGCGTGTGTACTAATATTTTGGAAAAGATTGAAGAAGACAATATTAGACGAAATCCAGTAGTGATAAACAAAGAAATTCCATTTATAAATTTTTTGAATGGAGGTGTTGTAACTATTGAAATCGAAGACTGCTTTTTTAAGTATCGATTTGGTCGTATTTGTGAAAAAGAAAAAAATGTGAAACTTGACGTTGAAAGAAATGGAAAATTATTTGCTGTTGTTGACCTGACAATTAAAATGGAAAATACAAAAAATTACAAACGTATCAACTCAGACATCATTTATAATATACATGTATTAAAAAGGTATTACAATTACTTAGTGAATGTTGATGTTTCAGTGTTAGAAACTCTCTTTGAAAAAAGTTTTGGTCAGACAAAAGTTATAAATAAAAAAAGTACTATTTTACTAGTACAAAAAGAAGGTGGTCTTTACAAAAACGAGCGTGGAGACGAAAGAAGAGACTTATTTATATTAATTTCTTCAGTAGATAACAATGCGTTCTTAACAGAAGAGGAAAAGGTGATTAACGAAACTCTTGATGTTGAGATTAAAAAGTTAGAAAAACCCATTGAAGTGTTTCGGAATGTTTATGTAACAGTTGATGATTTACTTAAGGAAAAAACTTACTTTTGTACTGTTGATGGTCAGACAATCGTTGTTGATTTAAAAAGAGGGATTCAACTTGACAAACCAAAACAATACAAACTATCTTGTGATAATTATCGAACAAAAACGTTGTATTTGTCAATTGTTATTAAAGATAAACAAAATGTTGATATGTTAAATGGTATTACGTCTAAAAGGGTATTCGTCGATAATCGCTTTGAGGGAATGACTATTGTTGGACACATAAAAGATTTAGAAGAGAAATATCATAGAGCACAATTTGTTTTACAGAAAACCACAAAACTGTTGTTGGAAGAATGTGGATTTTACTTGAATGACACAACAAAAAGCGACTTAATTGTCGAACTGATTCTTGTTGACAAGGAACTGATTGATGACGATCAACTTGAACAATTTTTTGTTTCTAAAATAGTCTCTTATTGATTGTGTTGTTTTATTTGTGTGTATCACTATGTTTTTTATTAAAACTATTAATACTATTATAGTTTTAATAAAAAAGTTTAATTATAAAGTTATTAAATATTATAAATTATAAATAAAAACCAAAATTGGAAACGACTGTTTCAGATAAAGGTCAACAGAATAACCACAACAAGTATAACATAGTTTGAAACGTTTTTATTTTCAGTGCACTGTTTACACTCATCATCTTGGCACGGCGTTTCGTATTTGTCCTTACAATCTTTGCAAATTCCTTCTTCAACAAACTGCTTTTCTCCACACTCCTTTTGAACACAAACACCATTTAAACGCACTTCGTTCTCAGTACACTTTGTTGTGCAGATACCATTAATACGCTCTTCCGTACTTAAACATCGTTGCGTACAAATTCCGTTAATTCTTTCTTCCATGTCTGTACACTTTCTGGTGCAAACACCATTGATTCGTTCTTCATAATCTTGGCATTTTGGAGTGCACATGCCATTTATTCTTTCTTCACTTTTTGTACATTTTTTAACGCAAACGCCATCATACTCTTCTTCATCAACGTCACAATTTAATACACAGATACCATTAAGTCGAATTTCATTACTTTTGCACTTTTCTTTACACACACCATTAATTCGCTCCTCAGTGTTAGCACATTTTGGTGTACACATTCCTTCAATTCTTTCCTCACTCTCAGTACATTTTCTTGTGCAACTTCCATCAATGCGTTCTTCATCTTCAGTACATTTCGTCACACAATTGCCTTCAATCCTTTCTTCGTTGTCTTTGCATTTATCAACACACTTCCCTCCAATGACCTCTTGACCTACTGGACAGTCTTTTTGGCATACCCCATTCTCATCACGAACAAAAGTATACTGGCAGACGGTCATACACGTCGTGTTAAATCTCTCCTCATTTGCTTTGCATTTTTCTCTACAAACTCCATCTACATGTTCTTCCGTTTCAAGACACTTTTCTACACAAATCAAATCAACGCGTTCGTACCCTTCAGAACACTTTGGCGCACAAACTTTGCCAAGACGATCTTCGGTATTTTTACACTTTTCAAGGCAAATATCACTCACCATCTCCTGGTAATTTTGACATTTCGTTACACAACCCGTGCTAACTCGAACCTCATTCATCGCACATTTAGAGATACATTCACCACCGACCCGTTCTTCGCTTTTGTTGCATTTGGCCACGCAAAATCCATTGACTCGTTCTTCAGATTCTTTGCATTTTGATTTGCATATTCCATCAACCACCTCTTCGGTTTCAGCACACAGAGGAACACACTTTCCATTGATAAATTCTCCACCTTCTCCACAGTCAAAGTATTTACACACACCCGAATCCATGTAGTAATTTTTGATACATTTTTGACATTCGTTTTCGATACAAATCTCACAATTTAAATGTGCGGTCAAACATGTCGTCATATCTGTTTCACATAGTTGAGCCAATCCTCCACCTGAGTAATAATTTGTTGGACAATTTACACATGTTTTATTTTCGATGTCAAAGTACTCTTGTTGACCACATGCTATTTTAGTTACAAGCACATTTCCAAAGTAATTTCCTTTATACGTTAGATCTACAAAAACATCTGTTGTTGTGTTAAGTGGAAACTTGGAACCAAGAGGGCTTTCGTAATTAGTTGATACAATCGTTTCAACGTTTTCATCAAAAATACTATTTTCGATAACCTGAAGCGCGTTTAATTTTACTTTTTGAAGTAACGAACAATTTATAAAGGCTCCACTATAAATGTAGCGAATGTTTTCTAAACCTGTTACAAGCGAAAGATTTTGGCAATTTGAAAACATGTAATTTGCTATGTTGTTGGTTTCTGTTACGTCTACATTCTCGAGAAGTAAGTTGTCAGAAAAAAGGCCCCACCCATAGCTCGATGTGATTGGGACTTTTACTGATTTAAACCCACAATTTTTGAATGTGTAGTTTGAGAATGTTACACCATCAAAACCAGTAATCTCACGAAGAGAAATACAATTTTCAAACATTAAATTTGATAATTGCGATTGCCCAAAATTGGTGACTTTAACAAGGTTTTCACAGTTTGAAAAACACCCAATTGAATATTTTGTCGTTGCTTTTATCACAAGTTCAATAAATCCTGTGTTATGGAATCCATAGTCCATTATTTGAACCAAATTTTCGATGTTTTTAACTGTTTTCAGATTTTTGCAACCAGCAAATTGGTATTCAAAAATTTTAGTTTGTGAATTCAGATTTACTGAAGTTAAAGAATCGCAATTCTCAAAAGCATGCGAGAAGTCACTTTTAGAATCAATATTTGGACTGAAAGTGATTTCTGTTATCGACGTTCCAGAAAGACAATATTTACCATATTTTACGACATTAATTGTGAAACTATATTCTGAAAGACTTAAACAACCATATAGAGAATAGTCAGACAACTCGGTAATATATTCAGTGTTTTCCAATGTGATCAATTTGATACATCCTTTGAATAAATCAACAGACAAAGTAGTTAAATTTCCCAAAGAAACTTTTGTAAGACTTCGGCAATTCATAAAGACACCTTTGCCAACAACTGAATTTTCTGGTATAACAAAGTGTTTAAGTATTGTTCCACTTAAACTGTAATCACCAAAGGTTGTGAGGTTGTCCGAGTTTATGACTGTTGCAAGATTTCCACAATTCGCCAAAAAGTAATTGGGAATGGCAGTCATTCCATTCAAATCAATTTGAGTAAGCGAAGTGCAATCTTTGAAAACCCCGACACCATACTTTTTTGTGGAATCTAAAGTATATTCGCCAAGTTTCACTCCACTAAGTGAATAATCTCCAAATGTTTCAACTTTTTCTAAATTTGTAATTTTTGACATTTCCAAAGAAGTGCATCCAGAAAACATTTGAATTCCAAGAGTCGTCAAATCACCAAGATCAACAGATGTTAATTTTAGACAGTTTTGAAGTATAGGGTATTCATATTTTTTTGAAGAAGAAAACGCAAACGTAGTGAATGCTATGCCACTTAAAGAGTTCACACCAAATTCTAAAACACTTCCGATTCCAACAATGGTCGCCAATTTTTCGCAGTTCATAAATATATTTTGAGGAAGTTTGGTGACACCAACAAGTTCTACATTTGTCAATTTTTTGCATTCTGAAAAGTGTGAGGTACCAGAAAAAATTGTTGTCGAAGATAAAGTAACTTTGTCAAGTGCAGTTCCTGAAAAGGCGCTATCCCCAATTTTGAGAAGATTCTCGAAACCAACAAGTTCATTCAAACGTTCACAACCAGCAAAAAACGAAGCACCAATTTCTGTCATCCCAGCAAATTCAACTTTTTGAAGTTTTTTGCAATCTCTAAAAATATCAGTGTATGAGGAAGATGTCCAAATATTTTTGGTGAATTTAAGAACTGTTAGCCCAGTGTTAGCCAAGGCTTTTGACCCAAATCCATTCATTTGGTCGTAATTAATGATCTCTTCCAAGTTTTCACAATTCATGAACGCTGTATCTCCAACATCGTTGATTTGACCAAAGTCAACCTTTTTCAAATTTTTGTTGTTTTTAAAAGCTCCAGACATAACTTTCAAACCATATTTTAACGTTACTTCAGTGATCGCAGTGTTTTCAAGCGAGTTTTTTCCAAATGATGTAACGTTTTCAATGCCAATAATATCACTCAAATTTTCACAACCGGAAAACACCGATGTGTCGATCTTTGTCATCCCGTTTAAGTCAACTTTGACCAACTCAGTGCAATTAACAAAGGCACTTGGACCAATAACTGATGACGTCGCAAACGTAATTTCTTTAATTTTTGTGTTGGCAAACGACAACTCCCCGAACGTCATCACTGTATCTAAGCCAACAACTTCTCTCAAAGAACCACAGTTCTCAAATGCATTGCCGGGAATATTCACAACACCATTTAAAATCACCTTTTCAAGTTCAGGACAGTTGAGAAAAGCCTCAGTACCAAACACAGTCATATCTGAAAACAACTCAACTTCTTGTATTTTTGTGTGTTTAAACGCTTTTTTGCTAACACCCGCAACGCGCTTCATAAAATCAAAAGTACTCAAATGAACACACTCCTCAAATGCAGATTCTCCAAAATAAGTAAGTCCACTATAAGTCTCAATTTTTGCTAAATTTTTGCATCTTAAAAACGTGTTGTCAGGAACTCTGTCTAAGCTGCCCATGTGAACGTAATGGAGGTTTGAACACTCCGAAAACACTGAATCCTTCAACTCAATTTTTGAATTCGAAAAATCAACAATTTCAATCCCACTTTTTGCAAAAGCTTTGTTCATGATTTGAACCCCTGGACCGAACTCGAAATTTCTTAGGGAGTAAGTCTCACTCAACGCATTTTCAGAAATGACTTGAACCCTTTCTGAGTGAACAATTTCTGCAAGGTTGATACAATGGAAGAACATAGAGTCTTCAAATGTTTTGTGATTCCCAACATCCACAGAAACAATTGGATTGTAACTGAACGCGCGTGTACCCATGGGAATATCGGGAAGAACCACGCTTTCAATTTTGGAGCAGTCGAAAGCGTATTCCCCGATGTGTGTGATGTCCTTGTTGAACTTGAAACTTGTCAAATTTGTGTATTGAAATGCGTAGTCGTATATCTCCAAAACAGTTTCGGATGGGAATATTTCTAATTGTGTCCGTGAAAATGCATACATACCAACAACGGGAATGCCTGAAGGTGCATAGACTGCACGAAGGCTAGACCGTAAGAATGCATTTCCGTTTACGGTTATTGGAGACGCTGAGAGAAATGTAACTGATGTGATATTTTGGCCATAAAAACCTTCACCAGATACACAGGAACAATTTTCTGGTATTTCTATGTCTCCAGTGCAAGTATAGGCTTTGTCGTATTTGACACACCCATTGGAATCATAAAGGAATGAACATTCTGAATAAGCAATTATAAATATTGATATAAAGAAAAGCATAACGTTTTTAAAAACACAGTTTTAATAATTTTAATATAAATATTTTGGAAATTTTATTGATATTTTATTAACATTTTCACGTTTAAAATGGCAACTATTAATAATTGTTAATTAGTAAGTATAAACTC